CTCTCCATCTTCCACGTTGAACTTGACGATGTTCACATGGCTGAAGGGGACAAGCCCAAGGGCCCACACCATCCCAGAGCCGTAGGAATACACCATCTGGTAGTGGATGCTGTCGCTGAGAAAGGGAAGAAAGGCGAGGAGTAACAGCATTATCCCTAGAACAGAAGTACCCTCAGGGCCTTCCAAAATCAGGCTGCCAGTCCTGAGCCACACGTCACAAGCTAGCAATCCCAAATAACGTTCTTTGGCTCACACAGAGCTGTAGCTTTTTGTGTTTTTAACTGAACTGGTTGTCAACATTTCAAACTGAGGTTGTACGTAAAAATCAGATTTCTACCTTTCCTTACAGTCAGCAGTCACAGCAACACTAAGCCTACCGATAGGCCTCACAGGGTGCCAATCAGCTGAGAGAGGCTGCCCCCTCCGGGCAGACCAAGCACACCGCAGTTCCCGACAGTGTCTGTGGCCTGTGCTGCTGCTCATGGATATTCTGTACTTGGCCCCAAAGGAATTTCAATTTTTGGTACTTCTTCTAAACCTTGAAAATGGCCACAGGTGGTGTAAGCAGGCCTTCTCCTTTCCTCCCTCCTGCTCCTTCCCAGCTTCGATGCCCCCCACCACCCAGGCTTTCTCAAGCCTCCCCGGGCTCTTCCTGAGCTGTTCTAATTCTCAATACAAATGAAAGGCACAATGTAACTTAGACTAGAAGTCAAAAAGCCCAAAGTGCCATGACCATAAGCGAGTAAGGGGCTCCCCTTGCTGAGCTAGTTCTGGTGCTGTTCAGGAGTTTTCTCCTCACTGCCAAGGAAACCGCAGCCTTTGCTGTGCTCGGGCCTGCATCCAATGTGCACAACCACAACACACAACACCAACAAGAGGCAGGCCTGGTCAGAGTAAATGCGTCAGGACCTCAAGGAGAAAGGAGCTTGCAGAGAAGGACGAGGTAGCTGTTGGCTGTGAGAAGGCCGCCTTACCTCTCTGGGAGATGTTCTGCCCACTTCAGGTGACCACTGGACAGGTAATGAAGGGCAAGAGTGGTCTTCTTCAGAACCGCAACATACCTCACTGACTCCTGCAGGCCTACCAGCCCAAGTGCCTGGAAACTGAGCACAGGGACAGGGTGAGCACTGCCTGCACCTGCCGAGCCTCGGCTGGAGGAGACAGGTGGGGCACTGCCACTGTGGCTTAGTGGGTAGAATGCAGACTTGGGGTCAAACACACCTGAACCTGACCCTGCTTTGTCTCCAGTTAGCCAACTTGAGAGTCTGAACTTGCAACCATCTGGCAACACTGCTCCCCTGAAATGCCCTGAATCCTCCCATCTTCCCTTGGAACTTCACAGCAATGAGACTTAACCCTCTACCACACACCCTCAGACAGTACTGTTGTCACTGAGCGACACGTTGTCTTTGAAGACACAAACTGCCTCAAATTCACATGTGTGCACCCTTTGATGAGGGCTCCCCAAGTCCTTAATGAATTCATTACTATCAGAAGACATATATAAACTGGGGCCAGCAGGTGGTGTGGTGGTTAGGGTGCTGGACTCCCACATGGCCAACCACAGCTCAAGTCCTGGACCTGGCAGCTTGCTTTCTCTCGTTTCTCTCTCTCTCTCTCTCCCCCTCTGGTCAAATGGAAGAATAATAATAATAAATGAAATTAAATAGATAATTATTTTTAAAAAAGAAGATGTACAAACTAATGAAAATGATCCATTAATATAAACGACTTCAGGGAAGATCTAACAGTAGTTCAAGCTGCTTGCTAAACATAAAACTAAAACAAGGGCCAGCCACTGTGGCCCCACACTAACATCAGAGCCCCGCAGTGCTGGAAGCCACTTGGTGACTGCACTCTGGACCCAGATCAGCCTGAAAAACATGAGGACATGGGAACCAGCAGTTAGCGTAATGGCTATATCGCTGGACTCCCACATAGTCGACTGTGGTTCGCGTCCCGGACCCGGTGGCTTAAAACTCACGCTGGGCGCGTGTGCGTGAGTGCCCATGATCCCAAGAGAATGGAGGAGAAGGGACTGTGGCGTGGCCATCCCCCCCGGGGGGTGATTTCTCGCTTTCTATCTCTATGTCTCTGTCTGTCTGGTGAGCGCGCGTGCCCTATAGCGAAAAAAACCTCTCCAAGAAAAAAAAAACAAAAAAACATGAGGACATACCTACAGAGGCCCAGGACCTAAGCAGTTGGAGAGGTATGGAAAAGGGGTCAGAGAGTCATGAGATCCTACTGAGATACTTTCTTGCTTCTTCCCCTCTGTCTCTTGTGCGTGCCCACACACTTTCCATCATAAAAAGAAGAAAAAAAAAGTGAAAACTAGAAATCTATGCTATGTTCTTCTGTCAGAAGCTGGCAAAGCTCACAGACCACGGTAAGAATGAAGCACCAGCACAAAGCTCTGCATGTTCTGGGTTCTGAGGACGCCCACAGAGTACATGCACATGTGCTAAACCTCAAGTCCTTCAGGAACTGGGCAGCTGATGCTCGTTGGCTCTTAGTGGTCCCCGGGAAAAAAGCCAAAAGCCCTGGAGTGGCTGTCTATGAGGACCCAGGGTCCAGAAAGTTGTATTTATTTATTTTTTTGAGAGAGATGTTTGCTAGAGGGCATATGCACTCACCAGAGACAGACAGAAAGCAAGAAGTCACCCCCCAGAGGGGATGGCCATGCCGCAATCCCTTTTCCTCCGTGCTCCTCTCGGGATTTTGGGCATGCACATACACACGCCTGGTCCAAGTTGCAAGTCACCGGGTCTGGAACTCGAACCACAGTCAGCCATGGAAGAATCCAGTGATGTAACCATTACGCCATCTGCTGGTCTCGCCAGCAAAGGTTTTAAGTCAGCCAAGATCAAATGCAGTTTCCTCCCCTACCTGCCACTGTCCAAGGTTATCTCCCAGTTCAGGCCTCCGATATTAGTCTCCCAGGAACGCATGATTCGGCCTCCATTTGACACAGTGATTGCATCTGGAAAAGAAAATACCATGCTCAAATCACTTCCCAAACTTGCTTTGTCACCTCACCAAGGCCTGTGAGCAGTGCCCTGATTTATGGATGTGAAATGAGGGGACTTCAGAAAGTTCTTTCAAAAATAGAATTGAAGGGAACCAGCAGTTAGCGTAATGGCTATGTCACTGGACTCCCACATAGTCGACTGCAGTTCGCGTCTCGGACCCAGTGGCTTAAAACTCATGCAGGCACATGTGCGTGCATGCCCAAGATCCCGAGAAGAGAATGGAGGAAAAAGGATTGTGGCGTGGCCATCCCCCCTGGGGGGTGATTTCTTGCTTTCTGTCACTCTGTCTCTCTCTGCCTGTCTGGCAAGTGCACGCACCCTATAGCAAAAACCTCTCCCCCCCAAAAAAATAAATAAATAAAAATAGAATTGAAGTACAAGTTTATTTTGGTGCAAAATATTTTTGAAGTCCATGGAGTTTTCTCATAATCTGTATTCTCTGTGACCTTTCTGGAGCCCCCACATGGATGTTAAACAGGTACCTGTCATCCACCATCAGGAACACCAC